TATGCTAATTATGTTAAATATGATATAAATGATAATAATAATATAAATAATAGAGATATAATAAATATTATGTATGTTCTATTTGGCAGATATAGCAGATTTGTCATATACGACTGGTCAGTCAATTTTTGCCAGTTTCATCGTATGACATGAATTATACTTATAATTTTTTTTTTCTTTTATTTTTCTATTGATATTTTACTATCTTAGGTACTTTGTATTCATTAGAATTTGTTTCTATCCTTCTTGGATATTCAAAACCATTTGCTGCTAGTTAATACAATTGTAAGTAATTAAATACTAATATTTTTTTTAATGCTTTAAATTTAATTTTTAATTTAATTATCCTATTAACTAATTCTCTATTTTTATTTACCATTTCAATAGTATCAGAGATTCCTTTATAATAAATATAGATTACAATATTGCAGTAATTTTTTGATTCATTATCCGTTTCAGATCCATCATTATTAATTAAAGTAGCTTGAAAAGTTTTAATAAACGTTTGTATTAGATTATCTTTTCCCTCCAATTCATCTGAAAATTCTTCTTCTTTTACATGATCTTTCTAAGGGTTAAACTCTAATTCAATTATAGAATTTGCTTCTTTTAAAATTTCTTTTGTATTTCCTTTTTTAGATATTTCATCAAATGATGTCATATCATATCATATATCACGTGATTTATTTTTAATTTGTATTTTAATTAATAATTTGTGTTTTAACTTGATTAAATTATTTTAAATAATTCAAAATATTTCAAAATAAATGTTACAGATTTATACTTTAACTTGCAAGTTTGTTTGCTTAATTCTTTTTAGTAAAATAGTATGTCACTCAATTTACTTTTATTTAGAAAGAGCAGTTCGTTGCTCAATTTCTTCAAATTTTATATACTTTACTAAATCTGTTAGTAGTCTAAAATCAATTCTGTTTCTCAATTTCTCTTTAACTTAAACTTTATACACCTCGCTAAATCTGTTAGCAGTTCATTATGTATAAAGTCAATAGTATTCTAGCAGGAATCACCACTTGTTAATATTACTCTTTCTGTCAAATAAGTTAACTATGATTTGAAATCAGGAAGACAATAGCTATAACTTAAATCCAATCAACTTGATACACTATTTATTAGAGAGTTTATTTAGTTAACAAGAATAAAATTTTTTTTGTTTGCAAAATGTTAAGAGTATTTATTATTGTTATTAAATGTATATTGAATACAATATTAAGATCTATCCTTTTTCCAAGACATTTTCATATCCTTTATATAAGAAAATTATAATTGAAGAAAATCTATGGTATTTATGATACTATTGACAATAATAACAGAGCTAACAGATATAGAATATATATGTTAGATATAATAATAATAATAATAATAGAAATGATATAAATTATAAATATGTTCTATTTGGCAGATATGTCATATTTAACAGATTTATCAGTTTTTGCCAGTTTCAACATATATGTCATATAATTATAACTCAGCTGATAGGTGTCTGATATTGTATTGTGTATTTTAAGTGATCAGTTTACATGATCAGTTTAAGCCACAATCATGAACCTGAGTTTATTACTTGAAGTATTGTAGGTAAGATAATATTTCAACTTATCTTGAGAATATAATTTCGCTAATTCAGGATCATAGGGAAGCTGATTCCTATTTTTGCAATACTATTCATTATGTAATTTATAATTCTTATGTATTTCATTACAAATAGGAGGTGAGCTCTATAGCTGAGGTGATATAAAATCATAATTATCAATTCTTTTAAAACTATTTCAGGATTTCAAGTATGAGAAGTACTTTAAGACAGATTTGATAATTAATTCTGAATTAGGTCTAGCTTCAAAAGTGATAGGCTCTTTTTCTTCACATTACTCAGAAAAAGATAAATAGGATACTTTATTTTCTGACTTCAAATTTATGAAAAGGTGGGCTTTTGATAATTGCTATAGTTCACATCCAGTTTCTTTTTTATATTTTTGTATAAATTAGATTGAATCTTATCCATCAAAATTCTTAGTAATCTACTTAATTTGACATATTAATCCAGATATTTAAAGATTAATACTTTATCAGACTTAATCATGTTTCCTTTTTTTCTATGATTTCAGATCAATTTAAATTAGATAATAGTTGACATAAATTAGTGCTAAAAATATATCATATAATAAATAATAAAGTATCAAATAGCAAATGTAGTTATAAAGTAACCTGACTATATAACAATTTCAAGTTCACACTATTCATATTTAATAAAATAGGATCCAGTTTTATATTTACCTTCTATACTTTCTTCATCGCTATAATCTAACTTGCATAATAGGTATGATATCTCATCAGTAATTCCATAATAATCAAAATTTTCGCTACTAAATTCTTTATATAAAGTAGGATATTGATCCAATGTCTTGTTGCAAAAATAGGAGTGATCATAAGTTGGCTTAGATTGACTGAAAGAAGATAATACATTAGCTGATATACTTACCTCAGCTTTTGGAGGAATATATGCATTAGTCAGATTAATTTTTGAAGTCATATGACTCTGATCATGAAGAATCTTCACAATTTTATTATGTGAACTTATTACTGAATTCACATAATCTATAATATTTTGTATTTGTGAATAACTGAGGCTCGAAATAGCATCTGCATTATAATTAATCTGTTTAATTTTCTCTATTCCTAATGTATTGAATAATTTATATAATTTTCTAGCTATAAGGATTTTTTGATGTAAATTTATATCTGTTATATCAGGTAAAAGCTGTTTGATTTTTTGATATACCATAGATGTTGCAGTTTTTTTCTTAACTCCATCAGCAATAAAATTATCAATCATTTTGTCATATTTTTCTATAAAATAGCATCAGTATAAAATTGCTTCTTGACTAACCTTAATGGTTTTTCTAAATATGTAAGCTATATTTTACACAGTATCTGATGAGCTCAAGTCCTATTCTAAAATTTGATCTGATGAAAGAGTGTGCACAGGTAATGATAACTGTTGCTTTAACTTCTATTCTACAATTATATTTTTATTCAACTTGGCAATAACTTCATCATGCTGATCAGATTTAAGTTCCTCTATGTCATATGACTCTGATTATGAAGAATCTTCTCAATTTTAAGATTACATACTAATTTGAATGCATTAACTTGTGGTTGCTTTGATAAGACACAAGATGTTGATCTTATGCTCTCAGAACTAGCCTCATAAGATTGTGATAAGTCTTGCTCATCTTGCTTTGAAGATAACATGTCCATAACTTCAGGAATTTAGTCATATCCTAAGAAATTACAAGTACCTCTTGATCTCTCTGCTTCTTTTCTCGCTTCCTCTCACTAATCTTATTGCTAATGCTTTTCTTATATGCCTCATCCAAGAAATTGACCATTTCCTCATTATTACCATCAAGGTCACTAGATGCTCGTCTTACTTCATTATTGAGTTAGTCTATTACAGAATTGGGTACATCAACAGTTGGTATCATCATTACTGGTATTACTTCTTTATCATTTTATGTCTGATCAAATGACAATGCTATCCCATCCACTGCTGAACTTTATTATAATAATGCAAGTCTAGCCTCAAGCTCTATGACTCTAGACTTGAGTTTAGCATTCTCAGAATCACGCCTTGCATTCTCTTTAATAATTTGCTTTAGCTTCATGTTCTCAGCTTCAACCTCAGCAAACTTTAGTAACTTCTCTCTAAGTTCAGAAATCTCAGCATTCTTCTTCCTAAGCTTTGCAATCTCAGCTAAGAGCTTGGCATTTAATTCTCTCAATGAATAATTGGATTGCTTGTTCAATGATAATTTTTTATATGAGATAGAATAATTCAAAAGTTCGTTAGTATAGATAAAAAAAGAGGTAATATCCTCATCGAAATTACTGATTTATTGATGTAAAAATAAATTACAAGATTCGGCAATACATAAACTTGTTTTACAAAGTGAAATAGCGTTCCTATACTAATGTTTGCAGACCACACTCACTTGTTCACACTACTAATACACATTATTCCACTCTATGGTCTGGTTTCATTATCTCAAACAAAATGCATTGTCAGTTATAGTAAAGCCTGAAATTTATGTTGATTATATTCCGTGATGATAGTAGAAATCTGTATGAAAAATAACATTCGCTTGCAAACTCTGAAGTTATTCTCTTACTGAAAAGAAGTATATTTTATTTCAATAATTATTCGTCAACGCTTCGATACTTCAGTTTCTTTTAAACGAGTTCAGGCTCAAAGAAAATAATACAACGACTTTGGTGGTCGCAGTAAGAAATAACTTATTTATCACTCTGTACTAATAGTACTGCGCATTTATTTTTTCTAAGCAAAAAATGTTGACTGTATTGCAAAATCAAGTGTTAGGGTATCCAGAAATATGTGACGCAAATATATGCGCATATTTTAAGATTTTTTTCACATATGTTATGTATCACATATTTTATAGAAAATCACATAAAATATGCATGCATATATTCTGCAATAAATATGATTGGTTAATTATAATCATTGATCATAATCATAAATCTAATCATAAAAAATATCGTCGATTATCATCGCTTTTTTTTACAATGATAATAGCAATCGAAAGGGTTAATTCTACGTAAAACTATAAAGACAACTACTATGTTAGTAGTGCTATAATGTTTTATAAATTTTGCAATATAACAATTGACCATAAAAATAAATCAAAAGTTGATCAACATTTGAGAACAAATAAACATAAAAATTATAAAACTTCAATAGA